TGAAAATACTTTTCTCCTAAAGTGTCTGGTGGATGAAACGGTGAAGGCATGGGGCTTGCCACAGTATTTACTAAATGTTAGCTATTAATATATTTTTAAAAATCATTATTGAGCACCTGATGCTCAACTGACTATGTTCCTGGTCTGTGCTAGGCCTGCGATACAAATATGAATAAGATACATGCATATCCCTAAAGATTCCTGAAGCAAGGCAATAAAGGAACCATTTCCCACAGAAAAAGATAAAATACAGGGGCTTCCCTGGTGGCGCAGTGGTTGAGAATCTGCCCGCCAATGCAGGGGACACGGGTTTGAGCCCTGGTGTGGGAAGATTCCACATGCCGCGGAGCAACTGCACCCATGAGCCACAACTACTGATCCTGCGCGTCTGGAGCCTGTATTCCGCAACAAGAGAGGCTGAGATAGTGAGAGGCCCGCGCACCGCGATGAAGAGTGGCCCCCACTTGCCGCAACTAGAGAAAGTCCTCTCACAGAAACGAAGACCCAATACAGAAATAAATTAATTAATTTTTTTAAAAAAGATAAAATACAAAGTAGGTAATTGCTTTAATATGTATGTATCAACTATGTCACAATAGGAGTGCTGAAGGAGGAGCACCAAAGTCAGAGCAGGCATCTCAAAGTAGGTAGCATTTGAAATCAGATTTGGAGTATAAAATGAATTCTTATAAAGCCCTTTGAAACAGTTAAATCTTATTAAACCCAATTCAGATCCAAAGGCCACATATCAAAGTCAATTATACAACTAGGACTAATTCAATCCAGGAGTTCAAATCAACTAAGGTTCACATCCTTTCTAACTGAGTTCCCACACTGGGAGGCAGCAATCTCCAGGCCCAGTAAGGTAAGAGACCCTCTGCTCATCTCTGTTTCCCTGAGAGAATCCTCAGACCCTTGTTCCCACTGCTTTTGTCACTCTGAAAAGTCCTCCCCCACCTTTTATTTTATCTAAAACCATCCTTTTTAGAAGTCTTGCCCTCCACTGCCCACACCCCCTCCCCCCAACCTGAGCCCCTTCCTCAGAGGAGGCAGATAGAATCTGCCTGAAACCCACCAGGTGGGAAGTAACATTTGATTGACTTTTCATTTGAATGTCAATCTTCTCAAAAAGAAGGGAGAGAGGGGGGCGGGGAGGCAGGAGGGAGAGGTGAAAAAGTAGAAGAGAGATTGAGAGAAAAAGAATTGAGAAACAAAGTGGAGGAAAGGGACACCAACTGTGAGAGGACTGGAAACATCATGGGGAGGAGAGAAAAGAGCAATGTCAGCATACAGAGAACATGTCAGTAGCCACCTACATTCTCTTAAAATGACATTTTGTGTGATTTAAAGAATAAGGGAAATAACAGTATATGTATGTTGTCAGAAGTTTGGAAGATACAGAAAAGTGTAAAGATGAAAAAATTTTAAATGTATATTACCCCCCCATATGCCCATGACTTTCCATATATATATCATATATATATATATACATATATGGTTGAAGTCATACTATATATACACTTTACTACACATATTTGTCATCTAGAATGTGTCAGTCAGGTCATGTAAGGACAAGGTACAGGATACACAAGGAGCTCATAATCTTGCTAGATATGGCACTTGGACTGTTGGACAAACTAGGATCAAAACTCCACACCATGCCTGCTAGCTCCCTAACTTCCATTTACTAATTTATAAAATGCATGTAATAAGAGCACATATATGTTAGTGTTGTTGTGAAAATTAAAAGAGATAATCCAAGTAAAATAGGAGAGCCAACCAGGAATCTTAAGATGCACTGAGAGGTTGCCTTGAGTCAATAATCACCTACTGTCTTCTACTCTTTGAAACATGGATTCACTCAGTGATCTACATTTAAAACTGTTCTTTACATAGAGAATGGACTTGAGGACACGGGGAGGGGGAAGGGTAAGCTGGGACGAAGTGAGAGAGTGGCATGGACATATATACACTACCAAACGTAAAATAGATAGCTAGTGGGAAGCAGCTGCATAGCACAGGGAGATCAGCTCGGTGCTTTGTCACGACCTAGAGTGGTGGGATAGGGAGGGTGGGAGGGAGATGCAAGAGGGAGGGGATATGGGGATATATGTGTATGTATAGCTGGTCCAGTTTGTTATAAAGCAGAAACTAACACACCATTGTAAAGCAATTATACTCCAATAAAGATGTTAAAAAATAAAACAATAAAACTGTTCTTTAACTTCTTCATCCTTTTAAGGGCTCCATTCTGAATGGGAAAATGGAGGTGCCAGTCCTCCAGGAAGGGTGACAGACTTACATCACCCGAGACTGAGAAAGTCCAGGAAAGGGCAATGTTTGGCCTTAGGACTTATGCTCCCCTCCTGATCCTGAAAAATCCCAGGGTTTAGAGCAGCTCTGTCCAGTAGAACTATAAGAGCTAAATAAATAATTAAAATTTTTTCAGTAGCCGCATTAAAAGAGAGAAAAAGAAATAGGTGACATTAATTTTAGTTATGTATTATATTTATCCCAATGTAACATAAATACTATTATTTCACATGTAGTCAACATAAAAATTTATTATTGGGATGGTTTGCTTTTCTAATCAAAACTTTAAAATCTGCATGTACTTTCACTTATAGCACATTTCAGTTTGGACCAGTCACATTTCAAGTGCCTAACAGCTACATGTGGCTAGTGGCTACTGTGTTGGATAACACAAGTCTACAGTCAAAAGCTGAAAGCTGGGCTTCCCTGGTGGCACAGTGGTTGAGAGTCCGCCTGCCAATTCAGGGGACGCGGGTTCGTGCCCCGGTCCGGGAAGGTCCCACATACCGCGGAGCGGCTGGGCCCGTGAGCCATGGCCGCTGAACCTGCGAGTCCGGAGCCTGTGCTAGAGAGGTCACAACAGTGAGAGGCGCGTACCGCAAAAAAAAAAAAAAAAAGCTTAAAGCTAAGGACCAATTAAGCTGTGGAGTGAGTGGTCTTGAGCCCGGGGACAATATTGATTTCCTTAAGGTCATGTTAATGGTTTAATGGTGTACTTAATTCAATAGAAAACAAAAGGCTGAGGCATTACAAACCATTTTATTTAGTGAATGCACAGACACTCTTAGCTGAAAATAGAAATAAACAGATAAAGTAAATTAGCAAGTTGAGACAATAAGAACACTTTACAGTTCTAAGCCTCAAATATCCTGAATTGTCTTGACAGTTGCCCTGACTTGCCATTTTTCTTAGTAGTACAGCATCTACTCTCAACCTCATTTACTTCTCAATAAATGTTTTATTTTAATATTAAGTTTGAAGCCAGTTCCCCCTAATTTCCTCACTTTGAAATTTGGCTTGTAAACCTGCATAAGCAAATCAGATATTCCTCTCCCCCTATCTTTATCCTACTTGAGATAGTCATTTGACTCCTCTGGATCTCTGTTTCCTCAAACATAATAAACAGATTGGATTAAATAGTTGGTATGATTTATCACCTAATATGTAATACTTAATATATGTCAGGCCCTGTGCTAAGTATTTTGCATTAATTATCTATAAACCTTGCCACAAGCTTCTAAGGTAAGTATGTACTATATTATCCCAATTTTCTAGATTGGGATACTGAGATTTAGAGAGCAACTTGCCCAAGGCCAAAGAGGTCTGTAAAGTATGCTAATCTATTGTGAGGGGCTCAAGAGAAACTTCCTGGATGGGCAGTTGAAACTAAATCTTGAAGGATGAGTTGGGTTGAGCTTGAAGATGCAGATGAGAGGGGAAGGAGAGGGACAGAAGGAATAGGGGGAGGACTGGAAAGCCTGGTGTTGGTAAGAAAAGATTTGGCTGAAGAAGTAACCCTCAAGGCCAAATCATGAAGAGTTTGGATTTTGTCCAGAAGAGGATGAATAACCACTGAAAACTTTAAACATGAGAGTGCTGAGCTAAGATTTGTTTTTAGAAACAAGATGCCAAGAGACTTGTTGGGGGCATTGTCGTAATCCAGGCAGGAAGTGAAGAGGCCTGAACTAATTAAGAGGAGCTTATCTGAGAACATCCTTTCTTTCTGTTTCACATTTATTCCCTCCATCAAGGTATCAGCAAGGAAGATAGGGAAGTAGAGGAAATCACTTCTGCAAAATGCTGAGCATTCCTTTCTTATTGAGCAGATGATTTTTCTCAGAATAGCCAAAGTTGAGAGAGGAGACAAGTGCAGTTTGCTGAACCTCCTCCTCCTGCTAAAAGGTTCCAGGCAGGACTTTGGTCATGCAGGATAATTACTCCTGCCAAGATACAAACCGGTTTGCAATTTTATTGTTCTCTTCCCCCAAGAAAAGGTTCAGAGGAGTTCAAACGATGTGACCAGCCAAGAAAATAGGAAGATTATTCTAGAATCTCTTGGTTCTACCAAGAGTATATAAGGGATTTAATAGAAATATAGACGAAGGTAGCAGAGTTTTATACCATTTCTATCACTGGCTTTGACATTCACTCATTCATTCACTTAATACCTACTGAAATTTACTATGAGCAAGGTTCTGTACTAGGTGTTATGATGATGGGGCAATATGCAAGAGTGCATCAGACCTCCATCTGTGGTCTCAGCTTCTGCTGTGAAGTCCCGGCTCTTGGACTGGTGTATTTGTTATCTATTGCTGCATAATAAATTACCTTGAAACTTCACATCTTAAAACAACAAACATTTCATTATCTCACACAGTTCCTGAGGTTTAGTAATCCAAGAGCGACTTAGCCAGGTGGTTCTGGCTCAGGCTCTCTCATGAGGTTGCAGTCAAGATATTGGCTGGGGCTGCAGTCATCTCAAGGCTAGAGTAGGGCTGAAGACTTGATTTCCAAGTTCACTCACATGGTTGTTGGCAGGACATAGTTCCTAGCTGGCCATTGGCCAGAGGCTTCAGTATTCTTCCAGGTGGCCTTCTCCTTAGAGCTGCATACAACACGGCAGCTTGTTTCTCCAATAGGGAGTTATCCAAGAGATAGAGATAGAGAAAGACAGAGATACCAGAATGGAAGGTGCAGTTTTTTTAATAACCTATTCTCAGAAGTAACTTACCATCATTTCTGCTATATCATTTTGGTCACACAGACCAACTGTGATAGAGTGTGGGAGGGGCCTACAAAAGGGTGTGAATACGAGGAGGGAAGGATAATTAAGGGCTATCTTGAAGGCTGGCTACCACAGTCCATCCTCTGGTCTCCAATGATTCATGTCCCTCCCACATGCAAAATACACTCATTTCCTCCCGAAGTCACCAAAAGTCTCATCTCATTATAGCGTTAGCTTAAAGTCCAACATCTCATCCTCTAAATCAGGTCCAGGTACATCTGAGGCTCCTTGGGTGTAGTTCCTTAAGTACAGCCCCTTGAGTACAGTTCCTCTCCCTCTGTGAAACTAAAACAACAACTTATGTGCCCCTCCATACACCCAACACACCATGGTGAGACAGGTGTAACAGGGTAACTGTTCAAAAAGAGGGAAAATGGTGGGCACAAAGGAATCACTGGTCCATTATAATTCTGAAAACCAGCTGAACAAATGTTGAACATTCCTTTATTAAGTCTCAAATCCTGGGAATAATTCTCCCTGGCTCTCAGCTCCATGTTCTGGAGTTTTGGATCTGACCCCTGAGTCATCCTCCCTCTCTCCCTTTTTTTTTTTTTTTTTTTAATGAAAGATAGTCCATGTTTACCACTGAGAACTTTTCTCAGCCTACTTCTTGCCAGTGGAACTTTGAGGATCCAAAGACCTCTTTTCGTTTTGTACTATCTCTATCCCTTTTGGTCCAAGATGGCAATGTTTCTTCATACATATTTATTTTTTAAATGTTATGAGCCTTCCATGAATGTTATTGGGTCCACTCCATTAGATGAAAGCCACACCTACAAATATCTTTCAGATAAGCTCTTCTCTACCTTGGGCTTCTGGTGAGATAACTGATGGACAATGTCCTTAAGCTTCCTAGGTGCTTCATCATTTTATTGAGAGACTGTGTGACACATACCTTTAATCTCTTTAGAGGACTTTTTGTCTGGCCAAATAGTATTCTGATGCACAACCTTAAATCTTTCTGAGACTGTAACAAAAGATTTTACAATCACTCCCTTGGCTTCATCTTAGGACCATGTTTTACTAGCAGTGCCCTGGATTTGTAGCTCAGAAGCTACATCTTAATTTTAGCATTGTTTGCCATTCAGAGAAGGTGAGAATTTTCAAAACCATCAAATTCTGTCTCCTTTTTGTTTAAACTGTTAACAGTTCTTCCTTTAGTTTACCTCTCTCCTCTCACATTTTACTACAAGCAACAAGAAGAAACCTTTGCTTGGAAATCTCCCTAGCTAGATCACCCAATTCATTAGACACATTTTCTACCTTTTGGTTACTGCAGGGAACAGTGTTACTGAACTTTCTGCCACTATATAAGAAGGATTGCCTTTCCTCCAGTTTCCAATTACATTACCTCATTTTTCTGCGAGCCTTCACCTGTAGCCATATAAAAGAGTGGGATACTTCTATTAACAGTTTCTTCAAGGTACTTTAGGCTTTCACTAACACTCTCCCCAAAGTCTGTTGTCCAGTTCCAAAGTTACTTATGCATCTTAGGATTTTGTTATGGCTGAATCTCACTTCCAGGTAGCAACATCTATATTAGATATCTATTTCTGTGTAACATATTATTCTGAAACTTAGCAGTTTAAAGCAACAACTATTTATTATCTGTTACAGTTTCTGAGGCTACCAGATCTGCTTCTAAGGTGGCTCACTCACATGGATGGCAAGTTGGTGCTGGCTGCTGGCAGGAGACCTCAGAATCTTTTCACATAGGTCTGTCTTCAGGGGTCCTTGCATCCATGGTAGGTGGCTTTTCCTAGAGCAAGGGATCTAAGGCGCCAAGGCAGAAGTTACAATGTCTTTTATTATCTAGCCTCAGAAATCCTACACTGTCACTTCCACAGTAATCTATTAGTCACACAAATCAGCTCTGATTCAATGTACGAGGGGAATACCAATACATGAGGATTGTTCTAGGTTATCCTGAAGGCTGGCTACCATAGCATGTTTTCTACCTTTCTAGGTTCCTTTGTTAATACTCTTTCCCTCAACAAAGCTACTTTCAAAATAGATATATCTTGGGCAGCCAAATCATGTATGCCGTATTGAAAAACATCATATTACCTGGTCAAATTTTAAAGAATTTCAGCACAAATTAAGCCAGCCTTCTGAATTTCTATCTTTTTTTTTTTTTAAAAAAAGTCCCTATTGCACAAGTTAAGCAAGTCAGGAACCTCTTAAGAATGAAGATTGATCCAAAGGCTGAAGAGTCATCATTGATGAGGAAATGTATTATCGTGATACCAGTTTCATTTCTCTGCTCACCATAAACAAATTCATCTGTCTTTTTCTGGGACAGGTATGTGTAATATGTGACATGCTTGATTTTAGAAGGCTTCTTTTTAAAAAACATGAAAACTATGTAAATAATCAGTAATTTCTTTTTCTTTAATAAGCCCATTGCATTCATTCAAAACCTTTATCTTTCAATGTGGGATAAGTTACTAAATTATATGTCCAGAATAGATGTTACATTTCAATTAATAAAAGGACTTATATTCTTCTCATAGGAACCACCTCACCCTTTATGTAGTTCTCCCCTATGAGACCCTTCCAAAGGTAAACTACTGTCCTTTCCTTCAGTGATTTGCCAAACAGAGGCAGTGTGGTGTATGAAAAGCATAAGCTTTGGTATTAAAGCTCTATATTCTGATTCTGCTAGCTGTGTGACCTTGGGCAAGTTACCTAACTTCTCCAAACCTCTGTTTACCAATATGTAAAATGGGGGTAATAACACCAAACTGTCATAAGAATTAGATGATATAATGTAGTAATAATGCTTAGCACAATGCCATTTAGAGTAAGGGCTCAATAAATGATAGTTATTATTAACAATTTGGGCAAGAAATGCTACCCATGAGAAGTTTCTTCTACTCTTCAGTTCTTACCTACTCCTAGTTCTACACAGCATCCATGGTTAGTGATTTTCAAATGTTGAAATGAAGGAACTACAAAAATAACAATGATTAAAAAGCTCAATTTATGAGTGTGTTGCTCTTTAAAGTTTTCTCTGGATGCAAAGCAGTCCATTCAATACCTAATTCAAATATGAACTAGAAAAAATTTTTTAAATCTGCTTTTTCTTATAGTAATGAATTTCAAGAAAAGTAAGATACTGAAACACCACAAAATGATCATTAGATTACAGCTTAATTTTCCCAAAGACATAAATCTTGAGACGTTTTGAGAAGTATTGAATGAACTTTGGAGGTATTCACCTTTGTTTAAGACTCTTTCCCTCTGTTTTTCAGATGGAAGGCGGAAAAGAATAATACGTTTCAAAGCCCTTTTTATATATTCAAATGCAGAATAGCCATGATCAAAGAGATGAATTACAAAGAATGATCAGGAACATAAATATGTACATATTTTGAATCAGTAGTAAGTGGGTTTTGCAGTTTTCAATGCAAAATAATTTCATACTTCATATTATTTATACCTTGACCTAGTTGCATACTTTAAAAAACTTAAATACAAATGGCACTTAGAAAACACACAAAATGAGCAGGCCCGGTTTTAGAAAAGAAAATATGAGTAAACCAGATTAAGAATATATGATTTTTTCAAACTTAATTTACAAAGCAGCAGCAGATATTATTTTATTATTGAAAACAGTTAACACAAAGTATTAGTGTAGGCTAGTTTTCTTTCTTATGCAACTCAAAATGATGGTTTATAAAGGACCATAGCCTATACGGATATGATGGAATGCCGTGTAGCTACCAAAAATGACAAGAACCTAGCTTAATGTCAATACGTGGAAATGTGTACCTGGAGTAATATAAATAGAAGAGACACAAAATAGCATGTATACTGATTAAACCATGTAGAAATATATGTATAATGTATATATGTAAATATACGTATAATGTAGTGTAGTGGAAAGAAAGAGAGAATAGAAGAGCTGAGTTCTAGTTGTGACAGGGCCTTCCCTTGGCTGGGTATCCATATCTGAGCAATTTATCTGCTTGTTCTCAGTTTCCTCACCTATGAAATGAAGGAGTTGATCTCAACTGATTTCAAGGCCATTCTCAGTGCTAACATTTAGTGATTTCATAGTTCAAAGGTTTGGAGTGACATAAATATAGTTTACTGTTTACTACCTTCTTTCCTGTAAAGTTGTTCAGGTTAATAATAATATTAAAAGGATACCACATGTCTTTAGTAAGACCTAGGAGAGAAGTAATATTCATCAATAAATAAGATTCAGTGATAGATAAATGTACTATTTTCTTTAAACTTTGTTTAAAATAACAAAAAGGCAATAGGAAGTCACTGAATGTTTTGGAGTAGAAAAGTGGCATGATAAAGATGCATTTTAGGGTGCTCACCACGCACCAGCACCAGGTGCTATCACTTACACCCAAACCAGGGCTCTGACTGTCACAGCCAAGAGAGCACAGGCTGCTGGGGAGCTGGTTTTTGCAGAATGTTGGGTAGACTTCCCTTTGCTGTACATCTCTAGGAATAAACCTACAAAGGAGGCAAAAGACCTGTACTCAGAAAACTATAAGATACTGATGAAAGAAATCAAAGATAACACAAATAGATGGAGAGATATACCATGTTCTTGGATTGAAAGAATGAATATTGTGAAAATGACTATACTACCCAAAGCAATCTACAGATTCAGTGCAATCCTTATCAAATTACCAATGTCATTTTTCACAGAATTAGAACAAAAAAATTTACAACTTGTATAGAAACACAAAAGACCCCAAACACCCAAAGCAATCTTGAGAAAGAAAAATGGAGTTGGAGGAATCAGGCTCCGTAACTTCAGACTATACTACAAAGCTACAATAATCAAGACAGTATGGTACTGGCACAAAAACAGAAATATATATCAATGGAACAGGATAGAAAGCCCAGAGATAAAGCCATGCACCTATGGTCACCTAATCTATGACAAAGGGGGCAAGAATATACAATATACAATGGAGAAAAGAGGCTCTCCAATAAGTGGTGCTGGGAAAACTGGACAGCTACATGTAAAAGAATGAAATTAGAACACTCCCTAACACCATACACAAAAATAAACTCAAAATGGATTAAAGACCCAAATGTAAGGTTGGACACTATATAATTCTTAGAGGAAAACATAGGCAGGACACTCTTTGACATAAATCACAGCAAGATCCTTTTTGACCCACCTCCTAGAGTAATGAAAATAAAAACAAAAAAATAAACAAATGGGACCTAATGAAACTTAAAGGCTTTTGCACAGTAAAAGAAACCATAAACAACATGAAAAGACAACCCTCAGAATGGGAGAAAATATTTGCAAATGAAGCAAAGGACAAATGATTAATCTCCAAAATATGCAAACAGCTCATGCAGCTCAATATCAAAAAAACAAACAACTCAATCAAAAAATGGGTGGAAGACCTAAATAGACTTTTCTCCAAAGAAGATATACAGATGGCCAACAGGCACATGAAAAGACTCAACATCACTAATTATTAGAGAAATGCAAATCAAAACTATAATGAGGTACCACCTCACACTGGTCAGAATGGCCATCACCAAAAAATCTACAAACAATAAATGCTGGAGAAGGTATGGAGAAAAGTGAATCCTCTTACACTGTTGGTGAGAATGCAAATTGATACAGCCACTATGGAGAACAGTATGGAGGTACCTTAAAAAACTAAAAATAGAGCTACCATATGACCCAGCAATCCCACTCCTGCACATATACCCAGAGAAGACCATGATTCCAAAAGATACATGCACCCCAATGTTCATTGCAGCACTATTTACGATAGCCAGGACATGGAAGCAACCTAAATGTCCATCAAGAGAGGAATGGATAAAGAAGATGTGGTGCGTATATACAATGGAATATTACTCATCCATAAAAAGGAATGAAATTGTGCCATTTGCAGAGACGTGGATAGACCTAGAGACTGTCTCCATTTTTTAACATAACAAGCAGACCACACGCTAAGCCTCCTGCCTAGAATGTGGGGCATGGGAAAGGGTGTGCCAGGGATGCCCCACAGCTTCTATCTGCCCACTCACATTTCCCAGGCTCCCTTGCTGTTAGTGAGATCATGTGACTTAGTTGCCGTGGAGTCTGAGGCATTTACTAGAGGGTGGAGCCTCCACCAGTGCAGGTGAAACAAAGCCCATGCTGGCCCACAATGGACATATCAAATAAGTGGTAAATACATGTTCATGTGTATTAAACCTTGAGATCTGGGATTGTTTGTTCCTGCAGCATAACTTAGCCTAACCTCACCAATACAACTGTGTTGTCATTCCCTTCCCTCAGATGAGAAACCTGGGGCTCAGGGCTTCCCTGCTGGCACAGTGGTTTGAGAATCCGCCTGCTAATGCAGGGGACACGAGTTTGATCCCTGGTCCAGGAAGATCCCACATGCCGCGTGTGCCACAACTACTGAGCCTGTGCTCTAGAGCCTGTGAGCCACAACTACTGAGCCCACGTGCCGCAACTACTGAAGCCCGCACGCCTAGAGCCCGTGCTCCACAACTAGACAAGCCACCGCAATAAGCCTGCGCACTGCAATGAAGAGTAGCCCCTGCTCGCCGCAACTAGAGAAAGCTCGCGCACAGCAAGGAAGACTCAACGCAGCCAAAAATAAATAAATAAACAAATAAATAAATAAAATCTATTTTAAAAAGTTGCATTTAAATCAATGGTGTGCATCATGCCTGAAAACAAAGGGAGAATGTACGCAGAATGACCCATATTGGCGATTGACAATATGCTAGGCATGAGGTAGTGAGGGCTTGAACTTGGGAGGAAGCAGTCATTTATTCATTTATTTGGTTGGCACTTATGGACCCTTACCGTGCTAAATTCAGAGGGAACAAATATACTATGAGTACACAATTATTCTCCATCCCCTTTCCCAATTTAATTATCTTCATAGAATTTATCATTACCTGAAATTCCACTTACATATTTGTTTGTTTATGTATTATTTTATTTTCTGTCTCACCCTCCAGAAAAGAAGTTCCATGAGGGCAAACAGACCATATGTATAAATACTCAACAAATACTTGCTGAATTAAAGAATAAATGAAAATTATACTGAACCTTATAGACAAAGTCAAATATCTTTTCTGATACAGTTCTACAGCTTTGTAGCTTCAGGCTAATTTAGTACCAAAAGACCCTCCTGCTGTGTTTATGATAAAATTAAATTATTGCTATGACTGCCCTCCTTTCAGCCTACTACTAAAGTATTTCCCCATAAATTTTGCTCCCTTTCTGTTCAGAAAGTCGTCTTTCTCTGGTAGAAATGAAGCTAGGAGAGAGATGATTATCTATGCTTTACTCTCAGCACTTCTTTCTGAATTACTTGTATCTAGATTTTTGTTTATTAATTTAATAGAGTGGTTAAATATTCATTAGCTTTTTCCTTGCAACTTCAGTTCACAAACTTAGTTGAATGTAAATAATACCAAACACTTTCTCTCTCAAAGCTGTTGGGAAAAGGGACAGAGGTGAGGGTCAGAGGTGAGGGGTTGGGGGTGGTGAGGTTGGAGGAGGGCTCAGAAGGTCAACAATTAGCAATGGTTTTACTACCATCTCTCTGTGGTTTTTACAACTCCCCTCTCTCTTCAGCTTTAGCTGCTCACCTCAGTCATGGGGCTCTAACACCCCCCTCTCTGAGCAACACTTGAATCTGCTTCCCTTAAAAATAATAGCACTTCCCATTTGTAGAGTGCTTGTAAGTCTACAAAATGCTTTTTACCTCTATGATCTTACTTACATCTTATTTAATCTCTTTGTTCTCAAACAGATTATTAGTTTTTGTTTTGTTTTTCTCCGAGAACTAAGAGGAAAGCTTGAGTAATAGATGTGGGAAAAGGAAGTTTCTAGATAGTGAGTTATAAACTGACTAAATGCTAACCCTGTAATCATGATGAGACCAAAGCTGTTTTGATTGGCTCAGGTTCCTCACTCTGGACAGAGTTGATTTATTACCTTCCAAGGGCTGTTTTTTCCTTTGTCCTCCACTGTCTGGATCATCCATAATTGGTTGTGTTGGAAGGTTGATACTGCTCCAAAGGGAATGTGGGTCCCACTTGTCTCTCAGTCTAGTCCGTACCTGGCTCTGTCTTCCTTGCAAGCTGGAAACTGGCAGCTCCTCATCTCATTCCCCTCCCAGGTAATCTCTCTATTAGCTTACCCTTATCACCTGTTAGGGGCCTATTGCTGACTAAGAAATAAATGGTTCTTCCTTTTGTTCTGATATCCATCCTCTAGATTCTTTTCTCCAATTCACCTGATCTCAGACTATTTCTATTTTTTCTTGTTGTTGTTGTTGTTGTTTTTCTGATACTTCCTGCCACTGCACTTGTTGATTCTCTTTTCATCTTGCATGTGGGCAGCTGATAACCTGTTCTGTCCCCATTATCTCAGGTTAACAATTCCACCCGCTTTCTTGGGTATTAATCACTCACGTGCCCTGGGAAACTGGGACGTCCCAAAGTCATCTCATTACGTTTTTACCAAGGCCAGCCCAATACCTTAGGGACCCTGGTAATAATAAAATAATAATTACCATTATTGAGTTCTTACTGACACAGAGTGCCAGGCGATTTACACAGGTGATTTTACTTAATCCTCTACACAGCCCTTCGAGGTCAAATTTGAGAGGGTGGGTCAACAGAGGCTTTCTTTGAATGATTTAAATTAAACCACATACAAAAGATAGTGGCTGGATATGTGGGGGTTATATGACCAGTCCTATACACCAAGACCCCCAACTCTCAGGAAACTCTTTATGGAGATCGTACCATATGCAGAACAAAACTTATCCTGAGTCAGAAGAGAGGTAAATCCTGGTGTACATTTACTGAATCTAGAGACTGCAAATGAAACCGATACTAATACTTCTTATGGAAGTCAATTACATCAGTGACCCCCAGTCAACTACACTTGATGGCATTCATATCCTTATGTAGCCCCTCCCCTTGAATCAGGGCTGGATGTGTGACTTACTTTAAGGAATAGAAATGGCAGAAGTGACACTGTGTCTGTTCCAAGCCTATGCTTTAAGAATGTCTGGTAGCTTCTACTGCTCTGCTTGCAGGAGCCCCAAGCACCATTTGATAAGTCCACGTGGAGAGGGAGAAACCCTGGGTCTTCACGGTGAGAAAGTGAGTTCTTGCCTTGCCAACATCCATCCCAGTTGGGTCTGGCCTTCTGGACATCCCTGACAAGGTGTCAGACCTGGAAGTGAAGCCATCCTGGAGATTCCAGCCCCAGCTGCCATCTGACTACAGCCATGTTAGAGACCCAGAGGAGACCAGCAGAGCACCAACCAGTCAACCCATACAATCATGAGAAATTAATAACAACAACAACAAAAGACTGTTGTTGTTTGTTTGTTTTGGCCGCGCCGCAGAGCTTGCGTGATCTTGATTCCCAACAAGACTGTGGTTGGGAATTCCCTGGTGGTCCAGTGGTTAGGACTCTGTGTGCTCTTACTACCGAGGGCCTGGGTTCAATCCCCGGTCGGCGAACTAAG